AACACATAATCCGATGCCAGATTCTGATTCAGCGACCCTGAAGAAAACCTACTCCTAGACTCCATTATACCTGGGCGATCTTCTGGTTGCGTTTTGGCCCCAATTGGTTTTGGGGTTTACGCCATATACATGAGGTCATCTCACTGGGCCTGACTTGTCTAATCTTGTCAGCAGGGCCGAATTAATGACGGGGTGGAGGTCAAATTTTTTAGGGGTACCTTCGGAACTGAACTTTATGAATAACTAAAATACAGATCAATATTATTTATTAACTACAGTTTAAGCAATACTCAAGCGACGTGTAGTAATATAGAAAGGGCGTTCGCAGAAAAAAATAGGGGTCAAGTAACTCAAGTTTGAAAAATTATGAAATACAAATACCTTATGATTTTCCAATAACATAGAAGAATAATTTTACATATCTAGTTTTTTCTTTTTGAAAATCCAGGGTGGTGGGTCAAGTGACCCCTTCCTGCGGGCGACCATGTAATAAATGTTGTTAGGACAGCGGAGTCGCGTGACGCTTGTAGCATGCGCGCTGGAGTTTCTCAAAAGATCATAAATTATCGAGTAACCCCGCGAATGTCCGAGTGTTTGCTAGACCCCTCTTTTTTAGTTTAGTATATAAGCCTGGTGAGAAAAACCAGCGCGATTGAAGATAGGCAGATATAGATAACTGAGTTAAGCAAACAGTAGGCACCGTAAATAAGGTGTGTGAATTGCTGTGAATTATAGCGTGTGTTCATAAAAGTAGTTAAGTTTAAAGTGACTGTGGAAATTCTGTGTATTACTAAAAGTTGTATCAAGAAAGAATAAACTAGTTTTAATCAAGACAGGACTTATATTGCTGAAGTTCTTCTGAAAGAATTTCTTCCGGAAATTAACAAACGAGCAGATACGTAACAATATAAAGTAATTACATCGAATTTTTATAGCACTGTTACGACAGCGGAAGTCACGTGACGCTGATAACACGTAACGAGTTCTGGAAAAATCGGGGAACATCACGAATAATCCAGTATTTGC